CACAAAATTTATTGAATACTCTCAAGGTGTACTTTCAAATTAAAGATTTACCCGTTTCATTGAAGTGTTTGCATACTGCAAAATTAGCAGAACAATGACAAAGAATAACAATTCGAAAGAAAAATTAGTATTGCACTTTCTGTTACATTACGATGATATTTTCTTGTGTAACTCTACAATATATGAGTCAGTCAGAAGCCAAAATGATTAATTCCACTTTTTGAAATTTTAGTATCAAAGCTCTTTCAATTTTAGTATCAAAGCACATGTTTGGTGCTTAACTCTTCATAAATAAAAAAATTTAATAAATTTAATCTGCCGTAGTTAGTCACTTTGGCTTCTGAGTGACCCATCTATCATTAACATTGATTTTCATTTGAAGTTCTAGTTTAAATTGCTAAATACGAGTGGTCAATCGCGTAACATACATATAAGGTTGGTATTTGTCAATATAACAAGTGAAAGTGTAATAGCTATTGTTACGTTTTTCAACAGGAGTAACAGGTTTAATTCCATTACCTTCAGAAACGTTTCTCAAAATTACGAAAGATCCCGTATCTATGTGACAGATCTCGATAATACAGTTTTATGGAACTATCACTCCTTGAATTTTTTATGCTTAGTTGAGAAACATGAAATGCTTCAGTTGCTATATTTTAACCATATCCTAACCATATTTACTTACAGAATGATGCAGTACAAATAAGAGTGACATAGCGAAAATTTGTCAATAATTAAACAAATATAAATATGAACAGATATTTTCCATTATAGGAAAAGTTAATATTTTGAGTAACTTGTTTCTAAACAAGGAATTAACTTATATTTGCTTTTGGAGCCTTGTTTCTAGACATTTTACCGAATTCTTGGATACTGTACGGAAATTGTTTTCATCTCATTTCTGTTACATTATTCCTTTTTCTTAATTTCATTGTTAACAAATGAATGTAAATGATTTTTCTTCGTATCAATAATAAATTCTATGATTTTAAATAAAATTGCTGAAATTACACAATGCTAAATAAATTTTAACGAGGTGAGTTTTTTCACCGACAATGCATATTAGACGTCCTGCACAATAATAAGAGCAACGGTTGGAGGACAAATTTTTACCACTCTTACTCACGTATGATTACTACTGTATAAGAATACAAAAGAACGCAGAGTGGCTTCGTTTAGGCTGAAAAGTAGGGGGGTCATCGATGCATGTGCGTAAGTACTTACATATGTCTCCACCTCTTTTTCATTCATACTGTGTTCCATCTTCTGCTAGTACTACAGGATCCTCGAAGGAAAGCTGGCCTATGTGTTTTATTTGTGATTAGTGTTGCTACGTTGTTTTATTAAAAAAAAAAGAAAGAAAAAGAAATTAAAAGCAGTGAATGTGTGACTAAAAATGAAAGTGAAAATGGTCGACTTTTTATTATGATCGGTTCTTTTCGACGAGGGTAATATATGGTATAAGAAAAATGTGAAGGATCATGAATAGAATATTCTCAGAAATGATGGTGTAAATTAATATGAGATATCAGATGTGGTTTCCAGTGAAGTCACAAAATGATTTTAATATAAACTACATTCTTCATCAATTTCCAAGTAAAAGCAGAAGGTTAATATGTATTTCTTATATCTCTTATAGAAGTTATACATTGTGTGTACCATAAATACTGAAAATTACCTCGATTTTTGAATAACATTTGAATAATTTATCATATATTCCATATACAGAGTGTTCCATCGACTTTGAGGTAGAGAAAAGATTTAAAGGTCAATTTTGCCTTTTTTTATTTAGAATATCTAATTTTTTATAGTCAAATTCGATAAAACAATGAATTTTGAATATAAAGGACCCATGTACATTTATCCTAAAACTTATCGTTCCTGAGATATTCTTTAATGTTTAATCCGTTATAGCCAGTGAGGATTTTTTACAGCCCGATAGTTTTCTGACAAATTCTGATCGGTGAATAATATCGAAGAATAGAAGTTCTTGAATTTCTACACAAAATCTAGCATGATTTACACAATAAATGTCGTGTAATATCTGGTGAAGGCTAGTACGATATGGATGAAATTTACGACGAGAGAGAATTCGCGGTACTCTACTTCTACCCTAATCTCAGGGTAATAATTCACCATTGTAAGAACATTCATTTCATTGTCTCCACTATTCAAAGAGTTTTTACGACTACTTTTACAAACAACGAGACTTCACAGTTTCCCTTCATTTTTCACATATTCTTTCGAATATTCAATGTGAAGGACACGTGTGCTTTTTCTATATTCTCCATAAATGGAGCATATCTAATTACTTGTTCTTTAAATGAGAACTTTATATGGATAGCCTTATCACTAAATGAGAAATTTATTAATACCGTGAGATATAGAAAGTTTAATAATGCCACTGCACGATATTTATTATCTACTTCTTGTTCACATTCTTAATACTGAGTATAGTTTCGAACATGTTTTACAATGAAGGTAATAAAATGGACAAAGTCGAATATTTTAAGAACGTTGAGTTTTAGGATAAATGTACTTTACTACTTTTATATTCAGAATTCGCTATTCTATCGAATTTAACTATAAAAATTGAATGTTCTATTAAAAAAATAAAAATAACTTCCAGATCTCAACACTTAAGACCCCTATACCTAACCTAACATAACCTATAAAGAAACCATTGCCACCATATTATTGTAATTATTGCATTGAGAAATTATTGAAATCACAGAAATTTCGTAAGCAACGTTTTCGCTTATTTCTTTCAGTAATGGAGATATTTGAACGAAGTTGCTGGAACACCCTATGTGTATATTCCACATCCATATACTTTCTTTTCGTTATGTAATTAATGATGTCATATAAAATTTTAAAGCCCTTTACACATGATCAAGCAATGTTATGTATAATCATACGATTTTTGAAACTTAATCGGAGATAAAATTGATATACTTAGGTGACTTTCTATTCAATTTAATTCTTCTGCTTTAGTTATAACTATAAAGTTTATTCTAGAATGTTTATTCGAGAACCATCGATTTATCGAATTTCACGATCGTTCGTTCAGTAATAATGGAAAGTTGTAATAATGAAAAATGAATATGTTGTCCAATAAATTTACGAGCTTTCTTCTGGTTGTACAGGGTTCAGGTTTTTTCATAATTTTATTACGAGCTCTTCGCAACGTTATGTCAGCTTTTGCATTCCACACTTGAAGAATTCGCTGATTTTTGGCACAAATTAATTTTCAAGCCAATTTCATAGTTCCCCGTCGACATAGAAGGAAGACTTGCTCAAAGAATTTTAGATAGAACGTAGAAATGGTAATCTGTCTAAACAAGAATCGGTAAGCAAGGTGAATGCAGAAGAACTTCTCATCCAACACTCTGAATTATCACTTTTGTTGAATCTCTAACGAATGATACCTTGCTTATGGGGATCCATCACCTTGCATGTAATGAAATGTAGCCAAAAATACTAATTGACATTTTTAGTTTGTCCAATAGTACGTGATGTAAACTTGATGTTTTAATTTACGAGTGTACTACATTTGTTCCATCGACTATACCTACCGCACGAATTAGTTATAGGCACAGAGAACCCGAATTAACAATCGTTGAAGGTGGGATTTAGGTTTTCCACTAGTAGTTGCCTCCAAATTCTGGTTTATTCATTCTTTCCTCTGCTTCACATTACCGTAAAAATATCATTTTTCGTCCGAAAAATGATCCATGCTGTTGACGTGCCAAGTGATATCGAGCAAGTAAGGATACATACATACAGATTCGTTGATTTTTGTTCCTTTGGTTCAAGTTAGATAATCCATAAGTTAGAAACTATTTAGAAACACGATTTTAAATACTCTCTTGAAACATTTCATTAAATTTTTACTAAAAATATATACAAAATATTATGTAAACATTATTAGTTCTTTCAATTTTGCGAGAGTTTGTAAAGAGAAAATTCGCTCTATAGGATTTTCAAATGAAGAGAATCATGGTTTTCTTGTCAGCATACAAGCGTACCCAAATAATTAATTATAACCTACTAAAAGACTCCGAATATCCATAGAAAAGTCCACAAATATTACGAATGATCATAGAAAAATTCACAGACATTGATTAACAGATTTATAAATGATTAAAAATATGCCAAGATCGTCACTTGTGAACGTTGTTGAAATATTTCCTATAAAATTGTTACACGCATACGGAAAAGTTGAATTTGTTTAAAAGCTAAAAGGCGCTCTGAATTGTTTAAGCAGATGTGTACATGTAGAAAGAAAAACTCTAGCGAAACAAACAGAATGTGTTATGATAATTGACAGACAAGAAAGCAGAAGTATCCATCACTAAACGAACACATGAGTGGAAAAATAAGTTTGCAGACCTCATCGACGACCGCATGTCGTCTGAAACACATACAATAGGACGCCGTTGAAGAAAGCTCACGTTCAAGGCTTTCGGTAAATGCAGAGGTACATCGAAACGAAGGAAGAAGAGAAAGTCCTCGTTGAAATAAATCTCAAGTCACGATAAATCTTAAAAGAGAGTATCGAGAAATAGAACGATTTTTAAGAAATTTTTCAGCCCGCATGCCATATCATTGCCGAAACCATGCATTTCTCGTTAGTATTAATCATACTGCCAACCGTCGCAGGTTCGCTCATGGATTTGCTGCAAGGCGTTCTTCAATCTGGAAAGGTGAGTCTTTTAAATAAGAGTTATCAAAATATTTAAATAATCATTTCATCGATAAAATTAATGGACACATTTCTTTCAAAATTGACCTGCAGTTTTCTTATGTCTCATCTTAATTATTAGGTCATCTTGAGAGTTCTCGCGGTTTTAAGTCGTTCTTTTTGGAAAAACTTAACTTTATTGAAATTAAACATTTTTATTTGAGATAATTTCCATAATTTTCGATATATTTTTGTCAACGTATTGCAAGAGCATTAATCCTGCGTACGTAAAAATCTGAATTTCTAAGAGAAAAAATATATATGTGGTAAATGTACAACATTTGTGACATAATTTTGTGTCAACGTGAACTGTAAATATTTAATTAGAGGACTAAATTAATTGGTGGTCAGAAAAATGACCAGAGAATTTACTGGTATTAGAGAATTTACTATGCCTCTTAAATGATATAATGTGATTCGAGAGTTCATTTCAATATTATATGTATATGCAATATTCTCTAATTTATAATCAAACAATTTGTGTACAGTGTATACATAGGAAATTATGAAATTGAACGTAAATAGAAATTCATATATCCATATGATAATACAATATGAAGTAAACAATGGTAGAAATTAATCTGTAATTAGTAATGCTTAGCTAGATAATTTACAGTAATAAAATAATTATTATTTTGCGTATAACAGTACTATAATTATATAAAGCAGAGTGTCAAATATTTTCCTTGAATTAAGTTTATTGTGTAATGTAGCGGACAAATTATACAATAGAATCTGATTATTCAGAAATAAGAGAAAATAATTATGTAAGAGTTTAACCGAAATTATGTAATGATTTTATAAGGACAGTAACCTTTAATATGTAAAAGAAATGCATAAACTGGTTTGTGGAAATTATTTGGAACGATTATGTACATGTTACGAAATTTTGCGCAGGGTTTCTCAACAGTATTACATATAACAATATTTCAGTGTAACATGTTACATTTAGTGGAAACATTTTTAACGAAAAATAACATTTTGCAAGCATTATTGTTGGGAATAACAAATATTCTTAACATTATTACTCCCAATCTTCACAGAACCACGAACCAAAGACAGAAGTGTCAAAGCGAACGAATTAACTACTAATGTTATTAATTAATTAATAATACTATACTAGAAAATTTGGTTTTATTTGCTTGTTCAGTTCTAAATGTAAAAAAAAAAAAAAATAATGACATCTAACAGTAACATGATAAGGACACAATGAATTAGACAGAAAACATGTTATTACAAATTATTAAAAATGATTCATGTTCAAATATATGTTCATGACTCTATATTTCAAAAAGAGAAAATGATAAAAATTTTAAAATAGTACATTGGCCGATAGCATTAGCAAGTTTCAACGAAATAGCAACTTTATATTACCATTTTAATGTTAACATTACTAATTATTCTATTAAAGAGAAGACAGTGTGTGACTTTCTTATAAGAAAACTAAATACTTTTGAAACGTAACATCTTTTATATAAGAACAAGAACATCATAAGAACAACGTAACTTGTTGATGTTAAGAAAAGAACATAAATTCATTTATAACATCTTGTTTGTTAAGTTTGTATCAGTTATTATTATCATTATTATTACTGCTATTTGTATTACGGTTCATCACAAAATGATTTTTTCTCTAGGGTAATTTAATATGATTAGCCGTGTTCGAGTCACGTTGAACGATTGTATTTGTCTATTCTGTTATTTTTAAAAAATTGGAAATTGTGCTACGTACTTTCAATACGGTGGTGTTTGCATTATGTTTCGTATTGTCGTATCAGAGCGCTATTTGTAAGTCGTGTTAGATATTTAATAAATGAATATGATGTAATTTTTATCATAGTTTTCGATTGTGCTAATTGTAAAATAAACAGTTTCAATGGCTCATACGTCATTGTTTACGATGAAATCATTTTATCTGGCTGGCATTTTATATTTATAAAACACTTGACTCTTGTCTGAACTTAGAAATCAGCGTAGATTGAGCAGTTCCAACAGTTAAACACGGAGTACGATAAAGTCTGTCTTTGGTCAAACATGTGACATGAATTTAGAAAAGGTGTAAATGGAGCTATTTCTGTGAAAAACAATTCGGAATGTTTTTGGAATAAATGTAATGAGTGAACATGTGTGGAAACGTTGGTTCATCAAATTTTGTGATGAAAATTTTGAATTGCAAAAGAAATTATACATATTTATAAAGAAATTGACAGAAAGAAATTATTGCCACAAATTTGCAGTCTGCTGGATCACACGTTGCATTATAAACGCAAAAAATTAAAACATTTTTGTTAGGAAACTCATTCTCATTTTCCGTATTTTCCAGACATTACACTATCAGACTATCACCGTTTTCAGTCATTATAAAATTATTTAAATGGTAAATTAAATAAAACAATAACACCACATTGGATTGAAGAATGCAAAAATTCTGCCTCTTCACATATGTGTTTTAGAAACAGTATACAGCTCTTTCAAAGTACATAGATATTCAATTCTCAAAATTGACTCAAAAGGAACAGAACATAATTAATAGAATGAATGTGCAATACAATATGCGATCATTGCAATATACTCAAAAATATTCACAGAAGTGATATTGCTTTCCCACCAACTCAATATTAATGGGATTATGTGTATGTACAAGGTTGAAGTATCTAAAACAGGTCACTTGAATAATTCGCCTGATTTTCGCGATAGAAAAAAAGTGCATTAGGCAGATCTTGCTTGGTTTCAAGATGGACAGAATTCAATGCCAATAGCGTTTCTGTAGGTGGAGGTGTAGAACAGATGTGAAGATTAACTGTCTTTTTTTTTTTTAATGGATTGATATGTTTTTTTACTTATCTTCTAATAGAGCGTTTTAAGAGGCATACAATGACCGATGGTTGAAGGTCATTTAAAGTCAACTGAGATGGAGTATAATTGACTTCAAGGAACCGGCGAATATAAATTGTCAACACAGCATTGTCAATATTTATCGACAAACTGCATTTTTCTCATAAGTTCAATATTTATTAACAATATATTCAGTTTCCAGTTAATGTTTAGAACCTTGAAATGTTGACAATGTGTATTGATCGTCGGAACGTCCCTTAACACTTTCCTGTCTTCTCTAGTTGTAAATAAAACATTATTGTTTATTCTTATTAACACTAGCTCCTTGTCACAGTCGCTACACATTTAACGATTAACATGATTGTAATATTAAAACCGAAATACGAAATTTAAAGTAAACGTTATCAGATTTGATCTTATAATACATCCTGAAAAATTTTGTATCAAAGAAATACACACGTAAATTAAATCGACAACTGAAATTTTTCGAATAATTGTTAAAGTTGAAGTGAAATTCGAACCATGTAACATGTCACATCGTTAATATCAAATTTGCATTCATGAAAATTACTGTTTCAGAATATAAAAATACTTATTTACGTAATCTTTATGTCTCATTTTTAACTGTTGAAAACTGTGATGTAAACTGAACGGAAAATTGCAACACATTAATTGGTTTAGAAGCATCCTTCGAACAGGTGAATTCCCGAATGAATTCCCGAAGCTAAGATTTTATATTTGGAGACCTTTCACATCTCTCACAACACCCACAAAATTTCATCTCGATCGGCCACCGGAGCCATTCGAAACAATATCCCATTTTTCTCTTACTTATACCCATAAAACATGCTGACAAAGTTCGATTTGGAAAAAAACTGGGACACCCTGTACACAAGAAATACTGCCCAAAGTTCTAATACACAGCTTCTGCCATTGTTCATTATATGTACATACAAAATATCAGTTACCCTCACTAATTGAGATATAAGTGGGTAACGCTTCAGGACGTGACACGTTAACGCAGCATTACAATCCGTTCGTTATGTCAAACCGGAAGAACGACTACATAAACGAGAAGAAGAGTGCTTTGCATGCTGAGCAATTGGAGAAAGGCCAGTACTTTTCTTTTCGTTGGTTCGCAATGCGAATGAACGAACCGGTCCCGGTTCTCCCTATTCAGTCGAACGCGTTCAGAAGGCCTACTTCTTAAATTATTTATATGCGACGGTATTTAAGCTACGACGAGGTAGAATGCAAATGAAAGAAAGTAAACGTACCGACGTGTATCGTATGTTAAGTCTGTATTTACTGGCGATCGATAAAGGATGAAATTTCGTCGAAACCGATCGTATCGTCTCTACATATTATGTACCGGACGTGGAATCAGGAATACCGGAAAATGGTACATCAAACTTTTATGCTTCCCAAAGAAGAGTGAAAAAAAAAATCCTACCTTTGCAAGAGTAAATATATGATCTACACTGTCTAAAGCAAAAGGAAGTGTTTTCTTTTTTCTTAAGGTGCCCAAAGAGAAATGGTACACCTTGAAGTTCTTATGCTTCCCAAAGAATGAAAAAGAAACAGAAGATCTTACCTTTACGAACGTAAATAAACGATCTGCAGTGTCAAAAGCAAAACGAAGTGCATTTTTTTTCTTAAGACTCGAAAAGAGATGAGTAAATATTTGAAGCAACATACAGTACTATGTCCGTTTTAATTTAAATTTTTACAACGAAAGTATTAGAGAGTTTGAAGGAAAATAAATGGGAATAGAATTGTTTAGTTTCTTTATATGATTTACATATGTATGTTTAGAAATGAAATTTCTAGTTCGTTGCTGCGTCGCAAACGCAACCGTTAAGAGATTGACTTTATGACATGGACGACCAGGCCTGTTGTTTTTGTGGGCTTCTTATTTTTAATTCTTTTCTGTCTAATTTTCCTTTCGAAGCGATGTCAGAGGCCAGAAAGTGTTTTATGAACGCAGAAACTCGTCGCTTCTGCGTTCCATACGCCTTCCTGGTGCCCATACATTTTCTTCAATACCAATTGACGTGTTGTAAAGCCATTACACACACACACACACACACATAAATTCAGTCTCGTTACGACTGACCATCATTTGGGCTTCACAAATTCAGGCTCCTCCAGATGTCCACATTATATTTCAAAAAGATTCTATCGAAAAGTATCTATCGAATATAGTAGTTCACATTTATATTGCCTATACGAAAAATTCATTCAACTCACACAAGATTAAGTTGGCGTGTGAGAGACGCGGAAACACTGTGTTCAATAAAATTAAGATTCGCGTCACAACATTCGTATTTATAGATAAATAAAATATTCGACTTACAAGAAGGTGGCAATAATATCGAAATTTCGATTAGAGTGATTTTATAGGCATTCAACTCCTCAATCGAAGTTACGCAAATGTTAAAAGAGTTTTGGAGCGTAAGTTTTTGGGCACGCTGAATGAATAAATGCTCAGATTGCTAATATACTTTTAATATGCCCAAATTACCAAGCAATTCAGGAACTAATGATCTGTGTACAAAGGTCCTTTGTCGGAATTTAAAAGGAAAAATTTAATTGAGATTAAATGATACTTCAAATGTAAAATTGAGTAACTTTGTTTGAAATAACTTTTCAATATTGTGTAACTGTTAAATATTACAAGATAAAACATCATTTGTACAATAAAATATCTGATGTGTGTAAAGAATGAACAATTTTGAATTTGAACATTATTCTGCAGGAAAATCGTCAATTTATCATCAAGTGATAAAATTTTAATAATAACGAATTTTTGTTTACTGGATTATAATTTATTGTATCATTAATATATAGGGTGTTCAACAACAATTAGTAGAAAACTTAAGAGGTAATTGTACAAGCTAAAACAAGATCAAAATCGAGAATTATAAATTAGCAGTTAATAATAGTTTACTAATTAGTAAGATAACTTAAGGGGTAATTCTATGTACAAGCCAAAACAAGACGAAAATCGAGAATAGCAAAATTGCGTTTGAAGCTTCGTTTGTTAGTTATTAACATTTAAAAATCGGCCAAAATATCCCTGTGACCCAGAAAACCTAACTGTAGAAACGAATGTAAATAGGGCAGGTCAAGACACTGGGAGTACAGTGATCCTGTAGCTTACCTGGTACAAATCGTAGAGAAGAAAATTTTTATAAAAAATATCGTAGATTACATATTAAACCTATTTGCTAAATAAATAGGGATTGCCGAGACCCATTTAAGCCTATTTATATGGGATTGTCAAGTGAAAAGATTAATTAATTTTCCTCCAGTTTACGAGCTCGTCTGCATAATTAAACAAGTAATTCATAAATACACATATCGCGATTGTCCATAGAAAATAGTTGAAGAATCTGTAAGTGTCCACAAAAAATAGTTCATACAGATTACAGGCATTTTACATCACTATGTGGCTACTGTTTTTTTGCAAAGTTCCACCTTGCTTTTAAAATTTCGTCTTATAGTTAGGAAATCCACCATAATATTTTGCGTTAACCTCGATCTAAAGTGGATCATGTCAATTTTGTCGCTGTGGATAGAGGTGTTGGATACATTAATTTTTTCATGTGTCCCCAGAAGATCCCCTGTCCCCTGAGAAGCGATCACGCCAAAGGAAGAGTCCTCTTTGATCAATTCACCTATTACCAAAAAATACTATTAAGTAGTTTCAAACTACTGCTGTAGAATGTGAATTACTAACAAGATATCTTTAAGTAATTCTAAAAATTTTGTTTATAAAAATTCTAGTTATGCTTGCAATGTTAATTTGGGAGGCAGAAATACCTTTTAATTGGCTAAAACACGACATGGCGCTGGTCAAATGTTCATTCAGAAAAGGAAATTTACGATATCCAACTCCCTTTGCTAATTCGTTTCCTATCTAACTTGAAATTGACAAGTAACAATCACAATATTTGAGAGCACGCTTTTTAAGTAAAAGTATGACAATGGAGAAAGTGAACATAGTGTTCACCAAAGGTGTCTAAAAAACGTTAGAAGGTTAACAGTATAAACTTTGGGAGGACAGAATCATTTCGACAACGAAAGCAAAAGTTTTGATACAACTAAACAAATTTTTAAATCTTTTTTAAGTCCCTTTTTTTCCCTTTAAATCTTTTTCTTTTTATTCTACAGTTTCAAATCCGTAGATCTTTTCCGTTATATTCCTTTTAGTTATACATTATTTTATAGTTACAAAGTAATAAGTTAATTAGTTTTACTTCGGTATAATCAGTTAAATCTAATTAGTGTAATTTAGGTTTAATTTACTTCTCTTTAGTTTTTAAAAAATTTTTTTGCCTTTTCTTAGTTTTTTGTTAGTAATGGAAAGTGATTGTTTCTCGGTGATTCTTGTGTATTGTGTGTACAATATACGTTGTGTTCACAGTATACAATGGAATACACATTTGAAGAACTTTTCAACATGCACCTGTGTTGTGATAAAGCAAACAGTAGTGCTGCAGAAGTCGGTAATGTCGTTTACGGCGCCAAATGTCACTGTCTTCTTCTCTACGGCCTGTAAGAGGTAAGCTGTCGGCCGTGTGTCGTTGGTTCTGAGGATCACTGTACTCCCTGTTTCTTGATGTATCCTACATTCGTTGGTGTAGGGAGGTTTGCTCGGCCACGGGGATATTTTTAAATGTTAATAACTGAAAAAACGAAGCGTCAAACGTTATTTCGTTTTATTCTGGCTTGCATAATCACCCGTCAAATTTTCTATTAATTGTTGTATATTTTACGTACACACTTTATATAGGAGAATTCAATAGAATTAAAGTTTCATCTTGTTAAAACAAATTATATTCGAATTAAAAGTGCAGAACGTAATAGTACGTATTAAAAAAAAATTCTTCTTTCAGAATGACCTTGATAAAAGTGGAATCATGTATCCTGTGATGTATAGTGGCATCAGAAGTCAACATCAAGTACCTGATTATGTTCCATTCCCATGTAATGTACAATTTGGAAGGTGCATTTAATTAAAATATTTTTACCAATCGTAATGTTTTTTGTTTTATCATATTATGCAATGCTAATTATAGGTAATACAAGTTACTACTTTCAGAAGAAACTAAAAATATATTTGTTGATAATATCGATATTCGTTGATTTCTGCTACATTTTGTCAGTTGCTATTATATAAAAAGAAGAATAATGCAATAAACGTCAAATTAAACTTATAAATCTTAAAATACGATGACTTATAACTCTTATTCTATTCCACAATCGTTCTATCCTCTAGTTTGCATTTTATTAAAGTTATATTAGCAATAATATATAAGATTATAGAAATATGTAATTTACAAAATAAAATAACTTTTCCTTTAATTTCTTCAAGTTTGTTATAAAAACATTTTTCGTTGTCTAGTAGTTTCCGAAATAGCATCATAGTCAAATTTCTTATGAGTATAAATTCACTGTTATTGCTTGGATAAAATTTTCAATTCAACAAATTATTCACAAATTCTTGTAAAAGAGAGAAATAAAAAAATTTAAGCAACATTTAACTCTGTTTTCAGGTTACATACCTGCTACAAAGTACGAAATATATGTTACTTTGAAATCCAATTTTACAGCTCACTTCATATTCCATTCAACAGTAAATACTCGTTTAATTAAGCTTCTAAAATTCCTGTTTGTTAACAATTTATTATTTCTAATACCGGTTTAACGTTTCATGATAATTTATTAAATAAAAATTTCAAGAGAAATGAATCTTGTTTTTATAGATCACCGTCAACGCCTGACAGTGTGCATCATTTACGACCTGGTGACATAGATGTAGTCGGTGGTCTGGGAGATTCATTGGTTGCAGGAAGTGGAGCTTTGGAAGAGTTTGCAATAGGAACGTTTATAGAAGCACGCGGAGTTAGCTGGTGTGTAGGTGGTCAAGGTGACTGGAGACGGTTCTTAACCGTTCCTAATTTACTGAAGGTATTAAATGTATCAAATGCACGTTCTCCTTGAAATTAAATTAAGTAATTATAATCAATCGAGCCCAATAAACACTTTTTGCACATGGGAAGCGGTTTTTCTTTTTATCAGTTGCTTAAATCGAAAAAATAACAAGACTCTCTAATTTGACTTAATTAGAGCAACTGTCTAAATAAACATTTTGCTTCACATTCTCTGGCAGTACACTAAAGTTTAGAAAAAACTTTTCATGTCACAAAAATGATGTCAATTTGAATCACAGTATTCACTCCGTATTATTGTATCAGGTGTTCAATCCTAATTTAATCGGATTTTCAACGGGTACTGGTGAATTTATTTCGACAAAAGCGAAACTAAATATCGCATTTCCTGTTGCGGCTACGGAGGATGCGCTTCAACAAGCTCGCATACTTGTTCAAAGAATGAAAAGTAACCCACAAATTAATATCAAAAAGCAGTGGAAGGTAATATAAATTTTTCAAAACATTTTGCGCGATCGTAGTTAGGAAATCCACCATTCATGAGTATTAGGACACTTATTAAATGTGAAGCATACTGCAATCTACTGAAATCTATTGAACCCTGCTGAATTCTATTAAAATCTACTGTATTCTACTAATATCTATTGAAATCTTTTGAAACCTACGGAATACTACTGTATTTTACTAAAATGTACTAAATTTTAATTAAACCTACTGAATTCTACTCAATTTTACTAATACCTACTGAAATCTACTGAATACTACAGACGTCTGCTGAAATCTACTAAAATCTACTTGCTGAATGTGAAGTAAACCTCATTGTCGTAATTTTAATACAAAATTAATTGACTCTCAAAAGTCATTACAAAATTATTAAAATCCTGAAAAAAATATTATTAATTCTGGAATCTGGAAGTATAACGAATACGTATGTATATTTTTGCTAATAAATGACACCAACTTTGGCCAGAAAATGTAATTTAAATCATACAATACTTTCTACACGAACACGACGGATGTCCTAATACTTATGAACGGCAGTGTTCAAATACCGTAGAAAACGAATACTGAAAGCGTTTCAAATATTTCTATGCGATACAGCTCATCACAATCTTTTTCGGTGCAAATGACATTTGCTCCGCGCAATGCTTCAATCCCTCGCAATTTTCACCGATTCTTCACACTCTTCATTTGCGCAAGACCCTGGACTTCTTGAAAATCGTTCTACCTCGTACATTAGTCAACCTTGTGCCAGTTATAGGTAATATATACAAGACATTTAAAAATGGATGCTTTAACGAATCTGTACAAAATACAAGTTACACAAACACACAATAAGAATGTAAACGAAGAATGTTTTGTTTTTCAAAACATTGAATGCCACAAAATGAAATGGTACATTTCGACACTAAAAATGTTCTTCCTTATTTAAATTGCTAATTAAAGCACTCTGATTTGCATATAGATGTTACAGTTTCTATTAGAGTGCCACAAAGTGCTATGTGTCGTATTTTGCACCCGCTTTACTGTGCATGCATGCACAGAGGTAGTAGTCGACCAGACATTGCAATTTCGAAAATGTCACACCTTTATCAGCAAGCTGTCCAAGCTTTAGTATATTCTGGAAGGTACGGTGGTTTATTAACTAATTAAGTAAAGAAAATGTAACTACTAGATTTCACGTAGAAAAATGTTATAACACATCAGAGTTTTCAAATTATTTGAAGTAAGGTATTAGGTCATCCCATAAGTTCGTGCCGTAAGGGAAAAATATTTTAATGAAAATAATGGTCTTACCAAAAAGAAAATAGAAAATGTGTGGAATGAGAAGACACTTACTTTGTTTTTATGAAATGTTCGTTGGAAATATTGATCTAAATTATAAAATTCGACACGAACTTACGGGATGACCTAATGTTTATTGCAAAATTTTTAAGGATTAAATACTAATTTAGAAAAGGACAAATATAAATTCTTATCTTCTAATTTCTATTCTAGGTACGATAAATCTCCAGATTTTACGGTGGTATTGCAACCATTTATTAAATTATTTAACGCCCCGAATGCAGATCCAAGAAAAGCACCAGTCATTGACCCCACTTTGGTTACGTACGATTGTTTTCATTTCAGCCAAAAGGGGCATGCACTTGGTAAGGAATTAAATAATAAATAATACAATGAATTATATGTATTTATAACAAAAGGAAATATTTTTTGTATAACTGTATATCATTCATGCACATTTCTATTCTAATTCACGTTTTTATTCGGACGTAAACAAAAGTGTATATATTAACCCCTTGACGACTCTGTATTTCGTATGGGCCTTAAGTTTTTCACTCTATAAGTATAAAATCGAAATTTATCATCTAACGTTCGATTTCTAAAGTAAATTATTTGCCTCTGATCGCATAGTCTAATTGTAAGGGTTAATAAGTGTTACAATGATATAGCATGTTACATAGCCGTTCATAAGTATTAGGGCACCCGTTATGTTCGTACCGAAAGTATTACATGATTTAAATTGCATTTTCATATCAAAGTTAGTGTACTCGTATTAGTAAAAATATGCATATGTACCGTTATTGTGTACATATGTACTTCCAGATTCTATAATGAATAATTTCTTTTTTCTAGAATGAAAAATTCATTTTTTGAATTTATTTTGATATACAGATTTTAGAATGCATAGTAATATATGTACAGTGCTACGTATAAGATAAATTATCAGTAATATATTTTTCTTTAAACAATAAACAAAATATTTTCAATTTCTAAAAATATTTGATTTATATTTAGGAAATAGAAAGAAAATAGACTATTATAGATATATACAATCCGGAATGCTGCATAATTAAAAAAATAATAGTACAATAATAATTTAGTACCGCATATTTTATCACTTCATTCGACACCTATTTAGAGAATAATGCACTTATTAGAAAAGCATACTGTATATTTAACATTGTAAATTTCATTTATATAGTACATAAATATGTATGTAACTAAAATAAATTTAATTACATTCTTCAAATAAGTGACCTTATAATTATATTATACAATGTGGATAATACTTTATATTAATATGGTATGCTTATCAGAATGTTGTTTGCGGTTACACATCTATTATCATTTTTCTTTCATACATTTTAATTAATGTTTTTTTTTATGTATCTTTTGTTGTAGAGAGCTTTAGTTTTAAACAATCTTCTAGATTACGATGTTCCAATATCTAACCATTTATATTTCGTTGTTACACCAAAATACAATGAAGAAATGACATCTTGAGAGCCTACGCAGTGATCATGATTTCTCTATGTCATTCATCTTAAACGAAAGAGCAAATCAATTAACAACGCGTATTGCGAAGTCAAGTAGTTAGACTCTTTGTAAGAGAAGTTAATCAGGAGTCACGGTTGGCCTAACAATGAGTCAATATGTTCGTCTGACTTACCACTACATACGAATAAGACATTAATGTAACAAACTGAGATATCTAATAGAAGATATACGACATAATAGATGGAAAAATCCATTTAGAAGTAAAATTGTATTTTTAAGTACAAGATGATTCTTTAACTTCTACATGTAAAATAGCAGAACGACAAGAAACACAAAAATGTAACAAAATTGCAATAGAAAGATCGAATTGTTCTCTTCACAGAAATTAAATTAAAGTACTATTTCTAAATACACTTTTATAAAATAATAACATCAAATGTTAACGTCAAAATTTACGTTAAATACAAATTAAGTAAAACTAACATACGACATTATCCTCGTTATTAACTAATTCATAAATACGCATTGTAATAACATTTAAAGTTCATATAATTTAAAGTTCACTTTCTAAAAAACGCCAGTTTTCCGTATCTTTCATATAATTCAATTTTTTTTTTTACTTACATAGTTTTTTTACTTATTTACTAATCTTGCAAAATTTTGTCTAAATGTTAAATAATATGTTCGAAACCATCGAATTTGACAGTACTTCAATGTCAGTATCCAAAAGTGTAAAGCAATAAGCTAATAGTTCCATTTCTCGTTGTGTTTCAGGAGCGAATCTGCTGTGGAACAACATGTTTGAACCAGTCGGGAATAAAACAGAACAAGGACTGCCAGAAGTGTTCGAAAGACTTTTATGCCCGAGTAAAAATATGCCATACATTTTCACTAACGTGAATTCGAGACATTTCCGAATGACAGGGCGCCAAGATAGGATTGTAACCTGATAACAGATAGAGAAGCACTGATAGCAACCATTTCATTTGTGATAATTACAGATGCGTGTTTTGATGAAAAATTCCTCAGATCAATGGAAAATTTGACGTTTATTTACACGAACGTGAATCTTTTTAAACAATCTTATGTAAATGTGATATACACACAGTGTCGTTTCTATGTACCTTTCTATTTGCGTAGTTTAAGCAAATGTTGATTTCGTGAAACAGTGTGTCAACCATACTCTGTCTACAAAGAGAAAAGAAATTGACTTCAAGTTGTCGCGTCGCGTCGCGTCGTTCGTTTTAAAATATACATATGTAAGTTCACCACAAATGATGAAAATGAATGAAACTACTGTGCCGATAAACGTCATCGTCAAAGTTGGGGCGTTCTTCTGATAAATTTATCTGGATTCTGGTTCAAAGTGTTTGCCATTCACATTATTCACATCTTATTTATGGTCGTTCCTCTAAAAACAGTTGCAGACCAATTATTCGAGAACTGGAGATAATTTCAATCTTACTCGAGTAGTAAATAGAAACGATAGTAATTTATTCGTCACTGACAAATATGTTTTCACTCGAGTGATATTTTTTTGAATTGAGAAAACATTTGCGCAGTTTCACACTTAAGCAATCGTTCCAATGATATCTTCAGCATTTCGTTATTTGTCAATTACGTCGCTACAAATCGTTCTGCTCTGTTGTATGTTAGTTACATTATTTTCAATGATTAATCTACATTTATTTCTAGCCGAGCGGTCAAACAGACAAATTTTTTTTCAACTCATATGTATTATATTTCGTCTGGAAAGTCTCAGTATGATCATAAATTTAGCTGATTTTGATAAGAAAATTACAAATCAACGAAACTCGGACTCTCATTTTTAGTTGTAAGCAAATGACTATTTTTTTACGTTTCTTGATAATAAAAGAAAATTTGTTCACACTCGTGATTAAACAAACAGTTACAATGCAACGAGAAGCCATATTACCTCGCATTTTTATAAAAGTAAATTAATATTGTATATCTACGTATAGAGTGCACATACACAACATATGTACAATCTAAGAAATATGTATAATAAAATGTTTGAAAAATAATATACACATATTTTCTTTTTAAATTAAAATTGATCCTAGTTTCATACAAATAACATTTAGATATTTCATATTATTATGAATATTTTTATATTTATGAATATTTCTAAACTTATAGTAAACGTTACAATTTATATCTTACTTTTGTAATATTTATCGAAGACAATTATCATAACAAACGTAAATTATGCAAACAATTATAATTATAAATAGAAATATGTAAATCAATAAAATAGTGCCAGATAGTAAAAGAAAAGATGTAAAAGAAAAGACGGCCAAAGATATTTCTGCATTTAATATGGCTGTATTTGATACGCGACCTTGATACAATACCAATAAAACTAGAAAATCTATAACCTTCGATTAATCACACTTTCTTTTCCTACATATTCTAGCAAACACTTTTATACCGTACAATTTGGGTTTATACTCTCGTGTAATATAATTCTTCATAGTGAAAAATATGAAACTAATAAAGGATAAGAGTAAAATGAATGATTATATTTTTTTAAGATAAAATATCGAAAATATTGATATGTATGTTTAATAAAGTTTAATTTTTAATTATAAGCATTAAATACAATTCGTTTATACACTACCGGCCAAAAGTTTGGAATCACTACGTAAATTAAGAGAAACAGAATATTTCTAAAAAAAATTGAACGCTTACAAAGTAATTGAAGAAGTTTTATTTGTCAAAATACTTATAAGTAGAATATTTTACATTTTATATTATTTTTTGTACGAAGAAATATATATTTTTCTTTAAATTGCCTTTTCATAAAAAAAAACCGCCCTTACTTCTAATGACAGCCTGACATATTCTGGGCATCCTGGCAATTAGTTTTTCAAGTATTTCTAACTTTAAATTTTTCCATGCTTCTTGTAGTAGTTGCCAAAGGTGTCTTTTCGATGTTGGACAGTGCAACCGGATATTCCGACCGAGCTTTTCCCACAAAAATTCTATCGGGTTCAAACCCGGTGATTGTGCTGGTCATGTCATATTCCTCAAGACCCGCTATACGGCCATTTAAACCTGCAGCTCTTAGTCGTCTTTTCACCATGGTCAGAGATATTGGATTCTGATAAGGATTCTGATTTTGGAGATATTGGATGTGATAAGTTTTATATTATACACGTTATAACAATTCTAACTTTAATATTTCGTTGTATAACGATTTGCATCTATGACAGCTTAGACGTATTTAGGCATTGATTATAATAATTTCTTAGAAGTCAAAATATTTCCCCATATTTCTTTAAGCAGAAAAAGCAGAAGGCATTTTATTAATTAGCTGCGAATGAGAAACGCGTGTCTCTGTAAAAGAGCGCGCACATAGTGTTCAATTTTCTATCTTAACCCTTTGCGTCCCAAATAGTCAAATTATTCTGCAGTTATTTGGCCACTGTCGGGCAGTACTGTGTAGTTTGCCTTTATTTCAATATTTCAGCGTAATGTTAGTTATAAAATATTAGGTTTCAGTATAATATTAATGCATAAAGAAAATGTTTATTATCGTTTATAATTTATAACTTATCATTGTATGATATCTCATGGTAAAGATTCCTACGTCGAGTCTGACTCGACATAGGACATCAAAGGGTTAAAATTAATTTATTTTATCTTACGAACTACTTAAACTTAAAACGCACGCATTCCACGACGTACATTTATAAAATCGTAGCAATGAAATAAAAATATATAATTATCGAAAAAACATGCATCTCACTAGGCACAGAGCACACAGCTGGACATTGTAAAATAGATTTTTTTCCTACCCAGAACCATTTGAGTATTTTCGGTATTTTATATCCCATTAGTATTGGCAACAATAGGCTTTGTATACAAGGCGTCTCACCTGATTCTGACATCTTGATTTTCTCGCTATTCATAGTGAAAAATGTTTCAGATGAAAGTTGAATGGTGTCGAAGGGGGCATATTCTGGTGTTATTAGTTTTTTCATGAGTGGACGTGTAAAATCTACATGAAGCTCAACTTTGTTCTTTTAAATGGAACTATGTATTTTTAATACATCAATCGATGCAGCTCGACATTCTCTATAAAAAAAGTATTAGCCTATTTATGTCCGAAAGTTAATAGTTTAGGAGATATTTCAATTTAAATAATTCTAAGACACCATTACTGTCTTGCTAAGATGTTAACTTTATTTATCAACGTGAGCGTAAAAAAAAAACGTATTCGATCACTGTTATGAATTATTGAGACGTTTAGTTTTTGTAGACATCAGGCCGCTTTATGTATACTCTGTTTAATTTAAGAAAAACCTCGTTTCGCGCATGGAACGTGCCTAAGGCAGGGCTAGAACCACTAGAACGTCCAAACCCCCACTTAACCGCCTACGTTTTTCTCCGTCTTACCCTCTGCTACACTCTCTGTCTATGCGCAGAACGGACGAAAATCGGTCCGAGAGCGAGGTTATTCTTAAATTGAACAGAGTATAGTTAATCTACGTTATCGCTCTACAATGAAATACACACAAGAAGAGAGGATAGACGTGGTATCAGTGTACTTCGAAGCTGGAAAGAGAGCAGTGCACGCAAAACGATTGTATGCAGAGAGATTTCCTCGTAGAAATCAACCGTCTCGTAATACTTGACCGCAATCATAGTAAATCCATCTATAAGCTGTCACGTGTACTGCATAGACACAAATTGCACCCATATCACTTATCAAACGGTTATCATCGCCGTTTAGAATTTTGTGAATGAGCTCATCGTCAAAATGATGGTTTTCTTTGAAACAGTTATGTTCACAGACGAAACAACATCCACAAAAGATGGAGACCTTAACTTAAGAAACACATATTGTTGGTCGGTAATTTCTTTCAATTTTATTTTAATTCATTGAATTTTATTTAGGACTCAAAACCGCGAATTTTTATCATCCTCGATATTTTTGTGTGGTTAATATTAATTGGGACATTTAGCAAAAATTTAATGGAGGTATCAAATAAACGCGCTGAAAAAAGGAAGCAAAAACCGAAATAGTTATTGTTAATAGTTATTATATAGCTATACTGACTTAAGACTTTTTCTTTTTTAGTTATTCCTTCAACCTGAAAATTTTGTAGAGCCGCCTGGAGTAAGTCCTCCTTATGCTCTAAAACAATGTAAGAGACGTCTGAAGGTGGGTAATAGGTATAAAAACCATGCATATGCATATACGTGTAGAAAAATTTTCAAAAAACCTGCAAAGTGAAAAGGAGCGTCTAGGAGTGTGGGTAAATACTCAATACATATTGGCTTAAGACTTTTTCCGCACGTACTCTTATACCTCTTTCGATACCAGGGCCGAACGAATCAGTTACCACGTTAATTGTGATTGGCGCGACGGAAGCTAAGAAACAGACGACAATAAACACAAGTACGGACAGGTATGCTAACCGGAGACCGTCTTGTAGGAACCGGGACTTACGTGCCAGGTACTATTTGTTGACACTCTCTCTCTCTCTCTTTCTCACACTCATTTTCATCCTACATTATTAATTGATAACAATAGCATAAAATATAAAATTTGGAAATAAACTTTAACAAAAATTTCGCGGAAAGTCAACGGGGTTCTTATATGTATAGTGTCGGTACTCCCTCCTCAAAGTCATGATCAAAGACGTGAGTATGCCTTGAGTATGCGTGTAAATTGCCTTTTCGCGGAAAATTTCCATTCTTGTATTATAATATTGTAACACGGTATAATTTATTAATTTTCACAATTTTATTATAAATTTATACTTCCAAGAATTCGTTGCAACACTACATGTTATCATTTACATGCGTTTGCAACTTTCTTCAATAAATAACTACGTTTCAACGATCTTATTATTTTATCGTGATGATATCTACTAAGTTCGTAAGAATTAAAACTCAGATTGACCTGTGGTCAAAGATT